CCACGGAGGACATTCTGTAAGTAAAGAAACAAGGAGACAGGGTTTGAGACACTCGTCGAGAGCATCAATGACCCAGTAGCATGAAGTAGGCTTCACCTCTTTGAAGATAAACTCTAGGAATATCTCACGCCACAATGTTCGCTCGTCCAATTGCTCCCACGTGCTAGAATTGGGTGAGACCTTGGTAAGTTGTCCAAGGATCTTCTTATCCATTCGACACATTTGAAAGGCAAGTGATAAGAGACACTTGGTGATTGTAGACTTATCTCGATCGCCATGCTTGAAGAAGAAATAACTGCATCGAAAATTGCTTTTCACGCAGTCATCGATTATAGAGCTCGAAATGACTGATTTCCCTGTGCCAGCATTACCCGTGAGCCAGAAGATGGCCCGATCGGAGTCTCCCAATTTCCACGAAGCATATTGCTTCCTCATTGTCAGCCATTTACAGGTTCCGGTAGCCCGCAGCTCGTCCAGCGCCAAACGGTCATTATTTGGAGCATCACTGATGCCAGTCAGTTTGGACAGCTTCTCCAAGGCCGCCTTCGCATTCTCGGAATCTATGATAGTAATGGTAAGAATAACCTCGGCATGTATGACGGCGGAAGCCACTGACCCTGAGAAACAATGAAATCAATGGTAGTGACAAAAGCATTCCGTACTGTCTTATAATTTGGGTCTGCAGGACTGTCAAATTTGCACACGCCCCTATGGTCCGCGTTCAGAAGTGAGCACCGCTCCTTTGAGTAGCCTAGAGTGGCTGAGGTTTTGTCAACAATAATAGCGCTTGTCAATTTGAAACTGCACGGAAGAGTCTCGTAGAAGGACCATATGTGCAAGTAATCCGCAACATGTCGAAAACTGTCATTTATAGACTGGATTGAGTCGGAATTTCGTTCTAGCTCTAGGACAAACGGCTTGGGCCCAAAGGACACCCTGAGAACATTTGCGAGAGTCGTTGCAAGGTCGGAGCCCCGGTGAGGTGTGGCGAGAAAGTATAATGTATGCATTCGCGCTGCAATCTCCTTCAGAGTAGGGTCCTCTCGAGCGAGAATATATGCATGCGGGATGGTGAGCCCAGAAGCGGACGGAACTAGACATGGAACGGTCTACCTTTTTCGCAACCAGCCCGCCCATACTATGTGCAACAAGTACCAGTTTTGTCTGTAATTCGTCAGTTGGAAGTAAGTATAGAGATAAGAGACTGTCTCACATTACTTCGACGAATGTCTGGGTTGCATCTAATTTCTCCTAACAAGGACAGCGCAAAGTCATGGATGTTCAGAATACTGGCCGTTTTTTCGGCCCAATCAGCTTTATACCCAAAGCTGTATATACGCACTTTGTCAAATTCGGGGTCTTGAGATAACCATTCTTTGGGCCAATAATGGTAGGGGTCTGGTGATTTGGACCATGTTTTTCTAGACCCTCCTCCGAGGCCGTGGATAAAGATAAAGTCGATGAGCGGTTCTGAAACGGTGCGAAGCAGTTGAAGACCTAGAGGTCCTTTGAAGACTTCACTCTCAGGTAAGGGCTTGTCATTAAGAGCAGTATGCCTTTGAGCAACGTTGGATCTTCGATCGATACGGAGCCTGCCGAACGACCTCCTGAACCAGCCATAACTCTCCGCCGTAGTGTCATTCCCTCCGGACTGTTTCGTTTCAGCGTCTGCTTTTTGGATTTTCAAAGTTGCAAGGCCAACCTTATCCATTACAAAAGCATGTCAATATCGTCGGACTTCAGTCTCGACGTCTAAATAATTAAACAACAGGGGTGCCAGGTGCTGGTAGGTGATAAAAACTTCAAACATTCCATCACCAGTGCCCCTCACTGGGAGCTGCTCGCTTACGACTCCCTGCATTGGGCTATTTTGAGATTCTGCGCGCAGCGAATGGATACTCGTTGCGCGAGCCAGTCGAATGTCTCGGTTAAGCGCTGCCCGCCGTGCTATCGCACTCATGCAGGCTGAGCGGCTATAGGATGCAGCGCGACACACTGCGCAGTGTATGATTCGTAGATCGACTCTTTGCCAGCCTCAAGTGTTATTGATTTCTGTCAAGCCAGTCTGAATGATTGATGTCAACCGAGTAGTAAGGAAGGAGGCCGTGGGAAAGCATTCCGCAGACATTTTGTGTACTGTTGACATAACCAGCTGTCATTATGTTGCTTTGCAGATATCCATACTTTCTTCTCCCTGACGGGGGCGATCCAACGTTATGGTATTGCAATGATGTCAGTGTGGTTCTTTAATAGGTAATTCTATGTCACCACGTTATCTTTTCGATCCCAGTCATGGGTGTATTGAAATCAAATCCTTTGGGAGAGACTTTGTAGGGGCTAAGCAAGTGGCTCCCCGGTGGAGATTGGCACCATCACACCCCTGCTCGTTGAACACGGCAACCACAGCGGGGTACTTCATCCCTTTGCCTCCAATGGTTATGACAGCCCCAATTCAATGACATTGCGCATCGATTACATCGGCCTTATACAGGCTCATTATCAAATTTACAGCCATCATGTCGCAGTCCGATTGTCAACCAATCTCTTTACCTGTCTCTCCAGTAAATGTGGAGGACGGCATTCCTACGAAAATGGCCATTGACCATGCTGTTTTATCGGGTATGAAAATTCTGGCTACGTATCTGCACCCTAAGTTTGAAGGATAACAAGTAGTAACAGAACTTGCGTTGTTCCGTCGACCGTTGAAAGTCGTTAGCCTTGGTTCTTCGGCCTGGGCTCAGAGATATCGGATTGATGTCGAGGCTCAGGAACAAACAGATAGCTATTTCATGAAGGTAACTCTTCCTCCGAGGCTTACACACTTTGGAGGACATCCCGCGTTCCATGCTCTACTAAACAGTCTCTTGACAGATATCACTCGGTGGTCATGGCAGAGAAGCCCTCAAAGGAGAATTCGAGTCTACTTTGGCGATCCACGACATCGTCGGAAGCTTTACTCCCAGGCCAATCAAATGGGGATCCTTCAAAGCTCTTTCAGGAGCACATTATTATCTCTGTCTTTTTTACAAATTTGCGGAACGTGCTCCTAAACCAGCAGAGTTTTGCCAGAATATCGCCTTTCTCCATTCGAAGAGCGATTCGCCAAGCGGCAAATTCGGGTTTCACCTTGTGACATACAACGGCGACCTGCCTCAGGAGAATGGCTACACTGACACGTGGGAGGAATTTTTCACGATCGGATTTAGGCATATGGTAAATATGAACATAGAACGTGGTGGGCCGTGGCCTGAGCTGGAAGGCCTAGACACTGCTATGATTGACAAAGTGATCCCCCGCTTGTTAAGGCCAATGGAAACAGGAGGCCGGTCCATCAAGCCATCCCTCGTCCATGGAGACCTGTGGTGCGGAAATGTCGCAGTCGATTCAGCCACAGGGCGGGCGCTGATATATGATCCTGCGAGCTTTTATGCACACAATGAGTGTATGTGCTATTTGTAAGTCTAGTTTTGAGTTTCACTAACGTGTTCCTGCAGACGAATTGGGCAATTGGCGTCCTGAGCGAAATGGGTTTGACAGAAGCTTCTTTGATGCCTATCATTCAATTATTCCAAAGACTGCCCCAACAAAAGACTACGATGGCCGGATTGCACTGTATTCAATGTAAGAACCAACCATCATATTTTTATGAAAGAGTTCTTATTCGGAACAGGCGCTTTAATTTACAAGCCGCGGCCCTCTTCCCCGAGGATACTAGCTTTCGAAACTCGTAAGTCGAGTTCAACCTTAATTGGGCCCTAGGTTGCTAATCATCCACCAGGGTAATTGAAGAAATGAGACATTTGGTTGCAAAGTACCCGGGAGGCTACGAGGAGTATGCCAGGATGCTCTGTGACAGCATCTAAGGTGTCTTAGGCCAGTTATCATAGTTTGGTTGCGAACATCTGCACCTTCCATCAACTTAGGCATTTATATCTTTTTTGTCCGCAATAGCTCAGTCTTATCATAACGTTTGTTCTATGTTTCCCTGGGCTTCTTGTAGGTATCGGAACAATGCGCGGAACTTTGCTTGTTCATTAGAATAAATATGCTCGACGAATATAGCTTCACTTATGCCATGCACCTGATTAGTATAGTACTACAGATAAGCAGACATTTAAGTCGAAAGGATAAGCGCCCACGGAGTGGAGATTAGCAGCACCCCTGTTGGTGGATGGGGTACTTGGGCGGGGTACTTCCTGCATCCTTGAATTTGTTTCTTTGTCATTCTCCTTCCCTCTCAGCATATTCAAAGATTATGCCACCCGCATCCCTTTTCATCTCTGACATTTGCATTCCCAGCTGTCGGCTTCGGCACCTTCCAAAGTGATGATAGCAACGGAAACGTAAAGCAGGGTGTTCTACAAGCACTGCGCTTCGGCTACAGACACATAGGACACCGCTACTGCTTATAGAAATGAGATGGAGGTTGGCGAGGTCATAAGGAGAGCGAGTTATCTCTGGAGGAGATCATTGTTACCACTAAGCTGTAAGCACCTGCGCTTATGGCTACAACCGGGGAACTGACTCTTTGTTCAAAGCTTAGACATGGCACCATGTTTCCGACGTCGAGAGAGCCCTCGACCTCAGCTTGGAGAGGCTGCAACTGGACTATGGTTTGTTTATGATAGCTGTATATTACTCCAAGAGATAATACTGACCGTCTTTGTGGATAGTCGACCTCTACTTGATGCATTGTATGGCAAAGATTCCTCCTCCGCCTTATCACCACTAATAGCTATCAAATCCCCCACGCATACACTTCTTGACTGGATAACAACACAACCTGTCATTTTAATGAAAAGGTAGACAAATACCCTTGAATAATCCCTTATCCTACTACGGTACATTGAGATTCCCAAACGATAGCCAATTATTGACTATGAAATATCGAGAGACTATCCATCGACCTGGATAGCCATGAAGATACTAGTCGATAAGGGAAAGCAAGAATGATTGGTAGGCCTGCACTTCCCGACATGGTATGCAGACACTCATGATGATTAGGTGTCTCCAACTTCAACATCCTAAAGCTCAAGAGACTTCTCGAGTCACTTAAAATATATCCTGCAGTCAATCAGATTGAACTTCACCCGCAAGTACTCGAGTTGTCCTTTGTGTGCTTCTAGACTGACCTAAGGTCCGCTAGGTATTTACCCCAAGTCGAGCTTGTAAACTTCTGCAAGATCAATGGCATCCACGTAGTGGCTCACCAGCCACTCGGCGGCAAGCCAGTAGCCGCAGTCAATCCTAACGCAGACCGGCCAAATCCGTTGAGCGATCCAGAAGTAGGTCCCCCTAAGATGTCTGTGACAATTACGGAGACTAATATCTACAAGGTAGCCCGAAATAGCGGCAGAGAATGGGCCTTCGCCAGTCCAAACCATACTATCCTGGATCGTCCAACAAAACATATCAGTAATTCCCAAGACCGTCCAGGAGAAGAGAATGGTAGAGAACCTCGACCTGAAACAGTTACGAAAGGAAGACATGGCAGCAATATCCAATATATCAAAAAAGAGAGGAGAAGTCCGCTACCTCGATCCAAAACACCACATTGGCTTCGACATTTTCGACGAGCAACACGATCAGCCAGTGCAGGAATGATCGACCAGGCACCAGTGTTGTATTTGCAGATATCTGAATGGATTTCCAACATTGCTAGGAACTGCCTAGACTAGTGTGTGTCACTTTTCACTAGCTACGGAAGGATTTCATCGCCCAATATGATATCAGATTGCCATAGCAGAAGGATAGATAATCCCGCAGTACCCCTCATCTAAAGCTTTGACGTCGTTTCAGATGTCCAACACAGCACAGTACAGCACAGCCTACTCCTTCCGCTGTCATGACTCAGGAAAAGGACCGGGAACCAACAAGTCTTGATCACTAGCTAAGCAGAACGAAACGCGTATCAAAGCGCGACAGCAAAGCCTCACCTACATGACTGATCACGACATACAACATCCACAGCCTTGCAGTGTAGGCCTAAATCACCATCCATTCAGACATAGTCAACCCCCAACAAAACATCCTACCTGACCTAAACACCACAAGTAATTCAGCGATGACTCATTTACACACAGACCACACATAACTACAACACCTGAATCAGCACCACCCACTAGCACAAAAAAACCCTAGCAACGACTTACTCAGTAACTAATTGACTAACCCGCCTACGATCCGGAAATACCCCGAGGCCACAGCCATAGTACTAGCAGTCTAGCTCCTCATTAAAGACACTACCAGATACTACTCAGCTCCACTCAGTAATAGCAGATTACTTCTAAGACAAGAGACAAACCCGCCAAGCAGATAAGCAAATCACCAAGATTGACTGACTAAGAGAACCAAACGTCGACGTCATAAGCGAGCACCTCACAACTAACTAGCCGAGATACAAGTAGACTAGGCTAGTTGACTAGAAGAACGGGATAGACTAGAACTAGACTAAGACACACGTGGCCAAGTAACCACATTACCACCTAGTAATACCGAACTAGCTAGTCTAGCTGACAGCCTAACTAGTAGTAACCCGACTAAAAATCACGGAAGACGGAAGACGGAGAAGAAAACGTGGGAGTGTTAATCACCACCACCACTATAATATAGATTAATAAATAGTAACTGTTGGTTTCAGCTGAAACCCTGTTGGATTTCAATCCTACTAGTCACATCACACCACCACCACAGCCATACTAAGTTAGTATCTAGTAAGTAATCACTAAAATGACTTTCGCCAAGTAAATTGCACAGACATCCCCATCCTGGTCATGCACTCATCCTCATCCTACTCATCCCAACCAATCTAAAACAATTCTTACCTTCCTAATCCAGACTAACTAAAGTAAACAAGTAAGTAAGTAAATACTACTAGCATGGGGGTTAGTTAGGTTTCCTGTACCCCCTCCCATGCTTAGTCCCAGCGCTAGAAAGCACCAGAAACACGTGTTACATGGGGGCCGTGTAGATCACTTACTCACTCGCTCCGTCCTCGATAATCTTTCTTCATCATTAGGGAGTATAAACTAGTATCTACAGGGGGGGGTAAGATGATAATCCTTGTATATTAATTGGAGGACTATATACATAATTATTCCACTAGCCTATATAAGGGTTAGTTCAGCTGGTATGGATCGGTGGGATGAAACAGGGAGTACTAAGTTAGGTGGGTGGGATGTTACTTTGATTAGAAAGATACTAAGTACTAACCATCCTTACTCAACATACTCGGTTCCTACTAGGACATCGGGCACGGTGATCATGCATACGATCTGTCGCTTAGATAAGTGGTGAAACTGTCGTTGTTTCATCTACAACTATTATTATTTCTTTCTTGGCATTGCAGAGTCGAGTCGATCTCGAGAGTAGTTCATCATTAGTTTGGGTATATACCTTATCGGTTATTCGTCACATCACATTAGGAACATCATCCCACGCACTTGAGCGTATCATGAGAAACAAGTATCAAATCAAATCAACCAACCAAACAGTTCAGTCAGTCATCCATGCATGCAGATCAAAATAATCACTCATATCGCTAGCGTACGAAAATAAGCAACCAACCAGCCAAGCAGGCAGCTTCAGTTTCCAATCCCATCCCTCTATTTCGCCCATCCCAAGTAAAAATCCAAGACAAAAGAAAAAGAAAAACCAACCCAAAACACCCTGGCGGTCCTATCCCAGATCATCTGATCCCGCTTTATGCCGTTTTCCGTATCCGCTCCGTAGCTAATGATGATAAAATTAAAACATAGGAAAAGAATCGAAATCACTCCAACGTTCTCCTAGTGCCATCCCCTCTCGGGTGCTGTGTTGTACCCCCCAACCATCACCGGAGTTTCTTCGTACAGCTGCATGTTTAGCCCCAGCCCGCCATTGTTCACCCGTGGCAGTCCCCCGCACACCGCGTCGCCAAGATATGGGGGCGGAAACGCAGGGGAGTGCTGCAGAGATCCCGCGTGGCTGTAATCCGAGAGATCGTCACGAGGGTCCGAGAGCAGCCGTGGGGAACTCGGATACAATGCCTGCGACGCCGGTGCCGTCACATAGGCTCCGCTGACGTCAAACGGGGGGCTGGCGATGGTCACTTCGGGAGGGGACTGCAGAGGCGGGGTGTAAGGGGCGTACGTGGCGGAGGCGGAAGACGGAGAGGACGAAGCGAGGCGGTAATCGTGGATGCTGTGATACGGACTGGGAGGTGCAGGAGAGTAGTGGTCAAGGGAGGTGCGCGGAGACCATTGAAGCCGGCTTTTGTACTTGGCGACAATATGCCGAGGAAGGTCCATGGCAGATAATGCGAGGTGTGCATCGGGGTGGAAAGGATCGGCTGTGCTCCGAGCAACTACCATGCGGTATATTTCTTCGATCGGACCGATGGAGAGCGGGCCCAGGTACGCACCGCCCAAGTCGGGAAAGAGGCTGTCGAGGACCACTCCAACTCCGAAGAACTGGGCCAAAATGGCTAGCGAGCCAATGTCGGCATCTTCAGGTCGCAGCATGGCAGGCGGAAGCCAGAACAGCCACCTCCGTAGCGGCTGCATGCGCTCAAAAGCCTGTTCGGGGGTTTGGGACAGGAGGTCTCGTTGGAAGTGTCTTACAAACTCCAGGAGTTCCCCGATGCGGCGGTAATGCTCATGGTTATGTGCAACCCGCTTCTGCAGGGCCTGGAGTGCCACGACGGTTTGGTCGAGGCTGGCCAAATCCTCGTCTTGGAACTGGTAGCCCGACATGACGGGAGTGTTGGTGCACCCCAGGTACCGCTGATTTTCCAAGAACATAGCCAACTCGGACTCCTGCTTCCACATCGGATGCATGGAACCCAGTACCTGCTTCGGGTCAGTCTCGCCATCGGCGTACAAAATAAAGATGCTTACCGTCGTAAGACCCTGCTGCAAAGACGCCCAGCTCTGCCACTCCGACGCATGCCACGACAAAATAATCGAGGCAGCCAGAACTGCATCGCAGTTGTCCTTCGAAAACGCCCCCAGGGCATTATGTAGGCCCTGGATAGCAACACCGCGGTGGTGGTAGGCAAGTTGTTTCGTCTCCTGGTTGCGGGTGATCCAGGCGAGGTGGGAGGCGGACATGGTGAGGATGGCGCTCATGACAAAGTCGTTAGAAATGGCAATAGCAAGAAACCTATACAAACATCAGTAAATCTGCCACCATATTTGCTCATCAGGCCGCACTTACGTAGGCATCTTCTGCGCCCAAATGGTGCAGCTAGCGAGACCACGTCGCTGGAGATCAATAGACAGACCAACAATGTGATGAATCAGGCGCAGATCAGTCAGCGAGAGCTTCGTCCAGCAGGTACGCGGGAACTGCAGCAGCTCAGCAAACGGAGCCACGCCGGTGAACTGCCAGTTTTTGATCTCCATTTCGATTTCGGCGGACATGAGCAGGTCGGGTACGTTGCGCATAGAAGATGCGTCGTCGTGGACCGTGGCAACATCCATGTAGTCGCAGCGACAGTTGTGCTTAGTGCAGTTCCGGCTGTGATGGTCAGCAACGATTCCACGCAGCTGCAGTCTGCAGAAGGCAAGCAAACAACAGATAAACATACCATTGTGGGAAAGTTTCGTCACAGCGGATGTGCCGCCGCTTGCATGTCTTGCAGCCGAAGCGAGACTTGGTGTGGCTCTTGCGAGGAGGGCCACCACCGGGACCAGCCATGGCGACGATGAAGGCTAACGAGACGGTGGGATCGAGGGAGAGAACAGAGAGAGTTGCGGTGGGGTCAAAGACGAAGCGATGAAACAATCACAGTAGAGTCAAAGCTTGAGCACAGTGACTGTCTCAGGCAAGGAGGAGAAGCAGTAATAGGAATAGTGACAGTTGACAGGAAGAAAGATGGGGTGGGAGGGGAGAGACCAGATGCGGAGATGGGCCAGGCCGGGATATTATAAGAAGTAAGAGCAGAAGATGATAAACCCAATCTGATCGGAGGCCAGAAATTACAGCCCACGGTTGGCTCAGTAAATGCGGCGTCCAAAAATAACCTCGAGCCGCAGCCCCAGTGAAGAGCAGCAGAGATACACACGTGGGGAATACGAGAAAACGGTGGAGGGCAAGTCAGTAAAGTAAAAGAAATTCTTTTTTATTTTGCTTTTCCTTTTTCTTTTCTTTTCTCTCTGATGTCCCTGCGTCAAGCCAAAAGGAGTATAGAGGCGAAGGAAGAAAAAGTAGAAAGACAAAAAGAGGCAAGGTCGTCAGGCGGGGACTGGGAGGGAAGACCAGCAGTAGCAGCAATACTAGCAGGTATTAAGTAGTATAAGAAGAAGGCGGAGGATTGGGGAACAATCAACAGGTCAGGACCAACCGGCCGGTAAAGGACGAGAGGAAGCTGCAGCCACAATTTTCCCTCCTTCAGCTGCGGGTCCAGGGACCGCGATGGTGGATTTGGTAATTTAAGAAAGAGAATGAAACCAGAATAAGGAATTATAGGGAAGAAAGTGTAAATAAATTATATTTATAAAAGAGAATGAGAAAAGACAAGAAACTAGAAAAAAGAAAATACTACTTAAGTAACTAGAATAAGTAACGAAATCGTTTGCATTTCAGGGGACGAGAAAAGAGAAGAAAATAATAAATAATGCCAA